CTGCGACTGGGGGTGCTGACTCTGGGGGTGCTGCGAGTCCTAGTGGCAGTGGAGTTGTGGGTGACCCTGTTGGAGGACCTGGAGCTGGAGGTACTGGAGCTGCTAGGCCTGGAGGTACTGCTGTAGGTACTAGAGGTGCTACTGGTGCTGGAGGTACTGGAGCTGCTAGGCCTGGAGGTCCTGGAGGTGCTACTGGTGCTGGAGGTACTGGAGCTGGAGGTACTAGAGGTGCTTCTGGTGCTGGAGGTGCTAGAGCTACCACTACTGGAGGTTTTGGAGCTGGACAGCCACCGCAGCGTGCGCTACTTGAGACGCTCTCGCCGCAGGCGATTCGTACGTGGGTCGTTCGGCGAGGCAGTCCCGGTGGTGGAGGGTACGGTCCTGCTGGTGCTGGAGCTACTAAACCCGGAGGTGTTGCTGGTGCTGCAGGTGCTGGTGGTACTACTGGAGGTACTAGAGGTGCTGCTGGTGCTGGAGGTACTAGAGCTGCTAGGCCTGGAGGTACTACTGGAGGTACTGGAGGTGCTATTGGTGCTGGAGGTACTGGAGCTGCTAGGCCTGGAGGTGCTGGAGGTGCTGCTAGTGCTGGAGGTACTGGAGCTGCTGCTGGTGCTGGAGGTCCTGGAGCTGCTAGTACTGGAGGTGCTGCCGATGCTGGAGGTACTGGAGCTGGAGGTACTGGAGCTACTGGTGCTGGAGGTACTACTGTTCCTGGAGGTGCTGGGGGTACTGGAGCTGCTGGCACTGGAGGTGCTGGTGCTACTGGTGCTGGAGCTGCGGGAGCTGCTGGTCCTGGAGGTGCTCGTACTAGAGGTACTGGAGCTGCCGTAGCTGGTGGTGCTGCTCGTGCTGGAGGTGCTTCTGGAGCTGCTGACCCTGGAGGTGCTGGTGCTGCTGGTGCTGGAGGCACTGGAGCTGGAGGTACTGGAGGTGCTGGAGGTGCTGGTCCCGGAGGTGCTCGTACTGGAGGTGCTGGAGCTGCCGGAGCAGGTGGTGCTGCTGGTGCTGGAGGTGCTCGAGGTGCTACTGGAGCTGCTGGCACTAGAGGTACTGGAGGTACTACTGGTGCTGGAGGAGCTGGAGCTGGAGGCACTGGAGGTGCTGGAGGTGCTGCTGGGGGTACTGGAGGAGCTACTCGTGCTGGAGGTACGGGAGCTGCTGGTGCTCTTCGCCACCTTCACAGTCTTCCGCCAGGTGCTACTGACTTCCTAGTGGCAGGTACTACTCCTCCGTTACTGTTTCCACCGGCAGACCAGTCTCAGCCGCCGCTCCTACCGCACTCCCCACTGCCTGCTCCTGCTCCTTACACTGCGGTGACACAGTCCCTGTCTGAGCGTCGAGAGCCTGAGACCCGTGCTTCCACCCCTGAGCGTCGAGAGCCTAAGTCTAGCTTTGACCTTGAGCCCGAGCCTAGTGCCGCTGTCCGTACTCGTGTGCGTCGTCCTCGTGCTCCGGCTGTCCCAGGCACTCACGATATGACACTCCGTCCTTCCTCTGTTCCACAGCGTGTTGTCCTACCGTTACCTCCTGCGGCCTCTCTTCCTGACATTGCTAACCCTCCGTCTGACCTTGCTCGTGCGTCCAGTCCGACTGTTACTCGCTTTCTGGCTACGGTGGTGACTGACCCTTCGTTCTCGTCTCCTGCTGCGTCTTCTTTAGTCGATGAGCTCGTTAACTTTGCTGCTGTGTACCGCCTAGACTACCTTGCGAGTCTTGTTTCGGACCCTGTCCCTGCCTGTCCTCGGTCTGTTGGGGGTGAGACTGGTATTGGCTGTACTGCCCTTGGCTGTGACGTTCTAGAGGACAGACAGGAGGAGCTGGAGTGTCTTGCGGCCGCTGCACCCCATCTCGCGACCATGCTGCTTGCTCCTGAGGGAGACCCGGATGCACTTGACATCCCCACCCCGCGCTCTTACAGAGAGGCGATCTCGGGTGGCAGACAGCCATGGACGCAGAGATGGCTTCTTGGAAGTCCACAGGCACCTACGTCGACGAGGTTCCCCCACCTGGGGCAAACATCGTCAGTGGCATGTGGATTTTCAGGGTGAAGCGGCCGCCGGGTTCTCCGCCTGCCTTCAAGGCATGTTACGTTGCTCGAGGCTTCAGTGAGCGTGCTGGGGTCGACTTCTTTCAGACCTTCTCCCCCACCCCGAAGATGACCACTCTTCGGGTGTTGCTACACGTTGCAGCTCAGCGTGACTACGAGCTGCACTCCCTCGACTTCTCGACAGCTTTCTTGCAGGGTAGCCTTCACCAGGCCATCTGGTTGCGCCGTCCAGAGGGCTTCACTGGGTCGTTTCCTGAGGGTACCCAGTGGAGTCTTCGGCGACCAGTGTACGGCCTGCGTAAGGCGCCCCGCGAGTGGCAAGACACACTGAGGACGACACTTGCGGCTCTTGGGTTTGCTCCTTCGACTACTGACCCGTCGCTGTTTCTACGCACCGTCACTACTCTGCCGGCGTTCTACATCCTCGTGTACGTCGACGACTTGGTTTTTGCTACTGCTGACACTGAGGCACTGGCCCTAGTGAAGGCGGAGCTGCAGGAGAGACACACCTGCACTGACCTGGGTGAGCTGCGGAGCTATCTTGGCTTGCAGATCACCCGGGACAGAGCACGGCGCACCATCACCCTGACTCAGTCACACATGGTGCAGCAGGTCCTTCAGCGCTTCGGCTTCACGTGGTCCTTGCCACAGCCCACTCCTCTGTCTACCGGCCACTCGCTCTCAGCTCCACCTTCGGACGAGTCCGTAGAGCCGAGTGGTCCGTACCCAGAGCTTGTGGGTTGCCTCATGTACCTGATGACGTGCACACGACCTGACCTCGCGTACCCTCTCAGCCTCCTGGCTCGCTACGTGGCACCCGGTAGACACCGAAAGGTGCACTTTGATGCTGCGAAGAGGGTACTGCGTTATTTGTGCAGTACATCGGGCATGGGGCTCGTGCTTGGAGGACGGGGTTCAGTGGTACTCACAGGACACTCCGACGTTTCTTGGGCCGACGACCAGACGACTCAGCGTTCGTCACAGGGTTACACCTTCAGTCTTGGCTCTGCTTCTATCTCGTGGAGGTCCACTCGTTCTTCTTCTGTGCTTGGCTCCAGCTGCGAGGCCGAGATCTACGCTGGGGCCACGGCTGCACAGGAGCTACGCTGGCTGACCTACCTGCTGACCGACTTGGGGGAGCGGCCTCGTTCTCCTCCAGTTCTGTACGTCGACAACAAGGCAATGCTTGCCTTGTGTCGCGAGCAGAGACTGGAGCACAGAACGAAGCACATTGCTCTTCGCTACTTCCTTGCGCGTGAGCTGCAGCAGCGCGGTCAGCTGCGCCTTGCTTACGTGGCCTCTCGGGCCAACACTGATGATGTCTTCACCAAGGCCCTTGGGTCTGGTGATCATCACCGTTTCTGCACTGCTCTTGGGCTTGTGCCCACTCTGCCTCACCTGCTGGTTGCTTGACTTGCTCTTGTTGTACTCTGATATATATCTTTATACCTGCTTGTTGACTCTTACTATTATAACTCTGCATGTGAACTGGCCTTGTGGCCGCTTGCTTGTGCTCAGATTGTGTGGTGTCCTTGAGATCCACCCTGAGCTTTGCTTTGCTTTGCTTGTTCTCTTGCTTGACTGGTCTTGTGACCGTCTGTTGTGTTTGCTATCTCCCACTTAGCCTATGGGGGTGTGTTTAACTATGTGTTTGTGTTCTCTCTAGGCTATAGTGTGTTAGCCTACAAGGGGTACAACACTTTAGGGTTAGGTACTTGTACTCATGCATGCTACCTAGTCCATCATTCCTACCTGCTTATTCTAACAGTTCTAGCTAGTAGGAATGTCCGTTAGCAAAATATACGGACAGTCCGCCAAAACCCAAAAAAAAAAAAAACCAAAATGGTTACACGCCCTTACCTTCATGTGTTTATTCTCAGCCGTACTTAACGCCGTACTAAATCATAACGAAGACTCCACCATGACGAATCTAACAAACGACGTCACACCAAACCAAACGCCTGCAAACCAAACCGACCACACCAAACCTGATGCCAGCGCTGCAGTTGACGCATGCCGGGCATAGCGTGTCAGACCGTCGTGACGTGTCATCAGTAAGGTCAGCGGGTCACACTACTGTGCCGAAAGCTTGTTGGCTGACCAGACCAGGACAGCAGCACGTCTCTGAACCGTCGCTCCTGGTTCATCAGCAAGCCGAGCCAAAGTCAAGCGTATCGAGCCGCATCTCTCCTCGAAATCCACGCAAGCGTGGCGCTTTTCGAAACTCGAGCATTCGGAAACTTGAGATATCAGAATACCAATTTGCTTCTATACTTTCATGCTTGAGACACTCCACCGCCTGAATCGGCTGAGGCTGCTTCACCCAATCCAGATACTCCATTCTCCATGCAGAAGCAACTACGTCCGTGCGCGTCGTTGTTCCTCCGCTTCTCCCCGGCGTCAATCGTAGGCATTGAAGCCGCCTTGTTGAGGCGCCGCACACGGCGTTATCGACTGAACTCGGAGCGCTTTCCCAAGTCGTTTCCTCACCCTCCTTCTCAGTAGCAGCTTCGCGATCGTGATCTTGCTCGTCGACACGTCAAACACGCTGAAAGGAACGAGCGAGAACGATAATTTCCTGAATATCGACGCCACGTTCCTCCCTTCGCTTGCAGGAAAAGCCACGCTTTTGGACCGAGTCCGTGCGAACCCTATCGTTGAATCAGCTGATTCCATCAGTCGCCGTCGCAGTGTGTAAATTCTCCGACAGATCTTCTACTCGTCGCAAGTCGCGGTTGAATTTTCCGTGCAAACCCTGTACGCGCTCCATCGTACTCGGCAATCGAACGAGCCGCGGGACCTTCACAAACTTCTTGGCGCGTGGGAACCATTCCCGTGAGTGTAGGGCGACACGGACCTCGCAATCGTACACGCGTCTCACCCGTCGCTCGCGTCTCACCCGTCTCACCCGTCGTTTCCCTCTATGAGCAGCTTGGCCGGCTCGGGCGCCATTATGCTGCCGGCCTTAGTAAGCACTACAACGGGGGATCGTGAATGTCCGCACGATGCGTGCGCAGCGAAGGTACCGGCAGCGCCAGCGCCAATCGCGGCGGAGTATTCGGAAGAGATGCCGCTCGTACTAGCGGATAACGACGAGGCAGGACCAGGACCCCGGGCATCTTCGCGATTCGAGGCGGAATGTCTGTGTGAACCGCGTGCGTGCGCGCAAGAGGGGGCGCGTGCGAAGGGGGAAGCGCTCAGCGGAAGGGGGAGGGGGGCGGGCGGAGACGCGCGGCGGTGCCGGTGGGCGGTGAGGGTGGGGGAGTGGCAGCCGAGCGCGGAGGAGTTTTGGGCGGCAGTGGCGCTGCTGCCCGCGGAACACCACGCGCACGTTCTCAGGTGAGCCTCTCTCATTGGTTTGGATGCGCCCGTTTTTATTCCATAATTCATTCCCATCAGATTGAGCCTCTCTCAGGTGATTCCCTCCCTTGCAGCCCTGACCTTCCAACCCCGCCTCCTCCTCCCCGCCCACACCCCGTCCCCGCGCACTTCCCCTCTTACCCCCACCCCGGCCCCCCCATCTTTTCCCTTTGCGGCGCCCCCCCATCCCGCCGACGCCTCCTTCTACTCGTTCCCCCGCAGGTTTCTCTGCCTGTCCGACCGCAAGCGCGCGCTGGTGAGCCGGCTAGCGCAGATGGCGCTGGTGGCGCGCGCATGTGGCGCGCGGGGGGGCGAGGTGGCGCTCGTGCGGACGAGGGAGGGGAAGCCGCATTACCAGGTGCGGCGGAGAGGGAGGGCAGGCCGCGGGGAGGACGAGGGGGACGTGCAAAGGCACCAGTTAGAGTCACGTGGCAGTGACTATATCAGTAGCTGGAGCAGCAGCAGCAGCAGCAACAGTCGCAACAGCAGGGATAGCAGCTGCCGGAACAGCAGTTGCACCGACAGCAGCGTGCGTTTCAATGTGTCCCACCATGGGGATTTTGTCGTTCTTGCCTCGGAGCCCACGGGCATTGTCGGCGTCGACGTGGCGGCGCACGATTGGCCGGATTCTGCAGCCGCCGCTGCCGACATGGTGGCGGCTGCTGCTGTGGATGGAGCTAGGGAGGAGTGCTCGCTGCGGCTGAAGCAGGGCTGGAATGGTGGCAGGAGTGGGGATGGGGGCAGGAGCGGTGAGGAAGCAGAGTGTGGCAAGGAGTGGGGGGAGGTGGAAGCGGTGGTGGCAGGTCGAGTGGGGGGTGGAGAAGCGGTGGGGGAGAGGGAGAGGGTAGTGATAGAGGATGGGGGAGAGGAAGGTGGGGGAAGAGAGCTAAGAGAGGAAGGTGTGAAGGCGTCACTGGGGGCGAGTGCAGGAGAAAAGGAGTCGGGAGGAAGGTTGAAGAGTAGAAGTCCGGTGGGTGGGATTGGTGGGAGTGAGCATGGGGGGAGTGGCAGCAGCACCAGTACCAGCAGCAGCAGCACTACCAGCATGAGCAACAATCCCAGCAGCAGCAAGTACAACAACCCTCAGGTGTTCTTCAAGCCGTTCCGGTCGCTGGGACTGCTGACGGCAAGGGAGTGGGCGGGCATAGAGCAGGCAGGGGATAGCACCCATGAGGAAAAGCACAACAACTTCTACAGGTGTGCTCAATAGAGGGGGAAATGGGGGGTTTTCACTCTTGAGGCAGGGGATGGCACCTATGAGGAGCAGCACAACAGCTTCGACAGGTGTGCTCAATAGAGGGGGAAAAGAGGCGGTGGGGTAAATGCGTTGGTGGGCACATGGGGCGGATGTGTGTGGGGCTGGGGTATTGAGTCGATTCACAAGTCATGCGTGAGGCTAAGCCTTAAGAGGTAAAGGGTTTTCTCAAGGCTTTAGAGTGCATGGGCTGAGACCCAGGAGACCTGGGTGATTTCCGCTCCTCCCTAAACCCCACCCCTTCCGTTCCTCCCTAAACCCACCCCTTCCGCTCCTCCCTAAACCCCACCCTGTCCGCTCCACAAGTCCCTTCCCAGGGTGTGAGCACTGAGCACAAGGAACCGGAGGTTATGTGACATGCGTGGGTTCATGCTGCTAGCTTCACTCTGCATTGAGGTTACTTGTTCTGAGGCTGTCCATCCGTGTGTGTACACTCCCCTTTCTCCTGCCTTCCTCCTTTCTACTCTGCCCTCCTCATCCCCTGTTCCATCTTTCCATCCAACGCCCTTCCTCCCAGGGTATGGGCGCTGAAGGAATCATATGTGAAGGCCATAGGCATGGGTCTGGGGTTTGACCTGAGCCGCATCAACTTCACTTCCCCACGCCCGCTCTCCCTTCCACCCGATGCCCTTCCTCCCAGGGTATGGGCGCTCAAGGAATCATACGTGAAGGCCATAGGCATGGGTCTGGGGTTTGACCTTAGCCGGATCGAGTTCATATGGGGGAGAGCAGACCGCAGGGCTCACCCCTGCTGCTGTGCTGCTGCCGCTGCAGATGCACAAACTCAATGGGAGCCTGACTTTAGAGAGAGCGCGAGAAGCTGTGGTGCTGGTTCACAAAGCGGTGGTGCCAGCAGCATAGGACGCTGTTCGCAGGGCTCTGATGAGTGTGGATTGGGCTGTGGGGATGGTGGTGTGAGGTGGGAGGAGGGGGAGGAGGAAGAAGGGGTGAGGTGGGAGGAAGGAGAGGAGGAGAGGGGGGTGAGGGAGGCGAGGGTGTGTGTGGACGGGGTGAAGCAGCGGGCCTGGCGGTTCTTTGTGCATAGACTGCCTCGTGACCACTGGGTGAGTGCTGTGTGCCATGTGCCGTGTGTCATGTGTCTTGTGTGCCATGTGCTATGTGCCGGCATGTGCCAAGCACTGCTTAACAGCAGTGCTTAACAGCAAATGTGCTATGTCTTTCTGGCAGCATAATTGCAACACTCGTGCTATTTACCAGTCCTCTCTGGTGGTAGTTATCGATGCAACTGTTATCCTCCTTAATGCCTTCCCCGTGGGTTTCTTCTCTTCGGCAGGTTGCTGTAGCCCGAGGTCCTTTATCTTACGCCTCTCCGAGCTACCAACAACTCTTTGGAGGGGATACGCATGAATATCAATCTTCGCATGTTTCAATTGGTTGCTCTGAGCCTGCATTTCAGATGCTCTCTGTGGAGGATGTGATTTCCATGTTGCATTCCTATAAGGTTGCACTGTGAAGGGTCAAGGAACTTGAAATCTTTACCAGTAGCATACGGTAATAGTATGGCACAATATGTAATTTTCAGGAGTGGGAGTTCAGTTTCCCCTTCATGAAAATGCATGCTGGGGCCCATGAAACTGAATAAATCATCGATATATTCGCGCAACACGTCTCCCTCCCATCCCTTCACAACCTGGATCATCCTGGATTCAATGAACGGCCAAATAACGAAGGATCGAGCAAGTAAAGTGAGTGAGCTAACATGCGAAAAGATGAAACGTGTGCTGCGACGCGAGGTTCTTGAATTCGCGGAGCCACAAGCTTCGCCCTGCAAGAAGTCAGACTCCCCAAGTGGCTGGGAATGGAATCGGTGGGCACTGGATCGGAGGGCAAACAAGCGACCCGCCGTCACCGTCGGTGCGAGAAACGACTGGGCATGGCGGATGTATAGTGGTGGGTGGAGTGGAGTTGATTGAGTTGAGAGAGCTTATTTGGCGGAAGAGATTGGTAGGAGTTGTGGCTGTTAGGTGGTGCCGCAGTGGCATGACAACGGCGGGGCACCACACGACGGTCCACTAGCCAGCGAATCTTAGACAAGACAGCCCCTGCTCCCGCGCCTCCAGAAACATGCGTGCCGAGCCGACAGTACTCGCGTAGGCGCGACGACGACGGTCCAGACAATGAACGAGAGTTGTGTCGCGAAGCGACGGTGGCTGATAAGCCGAGGCACCACTAGCCCTCAGCGCACCAACTCGCTCACCGTCTCGACTGGCATCATGAGTAGCACCCTGCTTGTAGTCTCCTCGTTTCAGCTCTGGCGAGTCGCCATTGAACGTTGGGGACCCACTGTTCGCTGTTTGCTGTGCACACTGAGAGGCCTAGAAGGTTCCATGGCGCTCTCATATCAACATATCCCATCCAAGTGTTTTAGAAATATTTACCACTACCACCGACAGCCAGGCTACTCGCAGATAGCTCACATATCAGCGGCGGCTTTTCAGAGTTGAGTCGATCATAATGGCGACTGCGAAGACCCTTGCGGTTCTGATTCTTGTTCTCGTGGCCACTTCCTGTAAGTTCGCTCTCGTTCCTGTTGCTCACCCGCTCCACGCGTCCCACTCGTCATAATATGCTCTAATCCAATCTTAATTAACATTTTCTTTTGTCGTTTTCCGCAAGCGCTTTAAATAACTCACGGGCGTGTCGTCGTTTGCATGAGCAGGTGCCTTCGCTGCTCCTGGTAGCGGCAAGGGGAAAGGCGGAAACGGAAACGGGGGAGGCAAAGGGAACGGTGGCGGAAAGGGCAGCGGGAAAGGCGGGAATGGTGGCGGCATTGTTGGCGCGCTGACTGGCGGAAACTCGACAGGGGGGTGGGGCGCGGGCGGCATATTCTCCGGACTCTCCGCGCTCTTTGGCAACGGCTCCGCGCCGAGCGACCTTGGGGGCATCTTCGGGCGCAAGGGCGGGAATGGGAAGGGCCAGGGGAACGGCGGAGGCAAGGGGAAGGGCAAGGGGCGGGGCAGGGGGAACGGCAAGGGGAACAGTACGGAGAGTGCTAGCCCTGCGGGAGTGGCGACAGCTGCCAGCGCGAGTCAGGCAGTGGTGGGGGTGATGGGGGTAGGCAACGGCAAGGGGCAGGGGAACGGACAGGGGCAGGGGAATGGTCAAGGAAAGGGGAAGGGGAAGGGGCTTGGGTGGGGTAAGCGCGGGAAGAGCGCGGGTGGCGTGTTGGTGAAGCTGAGGGGCAGCAGTGTGGCGGCTGATGCGCTGACAGCCCCTGGCGATGCCAACGCCACTGGCGTCCTTGAAATCACCCTCCTCCCGTGAGTTCCCTGCCGCTCCTGATCCTTCGATTCCAGAAAAGTGCCCCCTTGTCCCCCTCCCTTTGTCCGTCTCGCTCATTCCATCTCTTTCCCCGCTGCTTCCCCTCTTCTCCCCCCCCCCCACTTCCCCCACCCACCCCTCGTCCCCCCCCCTCCACGTGCCGTGCATGTGGGCAGGAACGGCACGGACTACGACGTGGCCTTCACGGCGCGCATCTCCCTCTCCACTCCCGCCGCGCCCACAGCGCTCACTCTCAACAGCGGCAGCGCCGCCACCACCGGCGCGGCTCTCCTCGACCTCTCCACAGCCACGGCCGCTGACGGCACGTCCCCCCTTGTATGGACTAGCAGTGACGCTGCCTCCTCGTCCTCTCTTGGCAGTAACAACCTTATGGGGCGCGCGTGGGGCCGCCTGCAGCGAGCAGTGAAAGGCTCTGCTGCCCGCACGGTAGGCCTGCACACGTTCACTCTCACGGGCGTGTGGCGGGCCGCTGGCACTGTTGCTGCTGCGGACGGCGTGCAGACGGTGAGGGACGTGGCGCTGGCTGTTGTGGCGCAGCCCAGCGCGTTCTATGCTGTGGTGGCTTCGCCGGGGTTTGAGGCGGGCGCTGCTAGGGGGCAGTTTCAGAAGGCGCCCAAAGGATGGGCGTTTGGGCTGAGGAAGTGAATACTCGAGAGAGTGGGAGGGGAGGGGGTGTGGAGGAGGAAGGGTGTGTGGGCTCTAGGTGGAGGCAGCACAGGAACAGCTGGGGAGGAATGTTTGTGAGTTCTGGAAAGTTCCGGAGGTGCTCTACTTCGTACAGTAGATGGCGAGTCTACTAAGGAGCCTCCTATCGAGTCTGTTGTTAGAGGGCCTACTCCTGACATTGAGAACGTGTGGCTGTCTGTCTGGTCACTACAGCCTTTTGCTTTATTCGCAGCAGGCAGGCTCTAGAACAACAGGTCTCCAGTTCATGTTTGGAGCTTTTGTATAATCAGATGTTTCAGAGTTCTTAAAGCCCGGGGTCCAAGTTGTTCATGTTTGAAAAGGTTGACGGGCAGGGAGTTCAGTTTCTGGGTTGTGACGAGGGTTTGTACTTCGTTAAAGCTCATGTGGCGGGACAAATTCAGCAAACCTTCTCCACACCAGCAAGCTAGATAGTCTGAACATGGGTGACTAGGAAACTTTCCACTCCATTGAGTAATTAGAGATGATATTGATTGTGTTATCGGTAGCATCCTGATCATGCTACCGGTATATCGAGTACATCCATGCATCCATCCACGCCTTTCCGTTGCATCCATGCATCAACCCGTAAAGCGTGTCTTGCCGCCGCCAGCTTGCATTATCCATTCCTAGTACCTACCTACCAGTCAGTACAGTATGAGCCGCCGACGTGGGAACAGACTTCTAGGAATAGATTAATTAATGAAGTCTCATGTACGGATGTCGCATTGTCTTGCCTTTGACTTCTAACTACTGTACCACATTAGTGCGTTGTTGGTGGATTTCCTTCAGACATTTGGCCCGTCCGTACTAGACACATGCTGTCGCAATGACCCAGCATACGCCGTGTGCCATGCTTCCCACTTCGTTCGAGAAGTTATTTTCTCACTTCCTTTGGTTTAGCCAATTTCCAACACCCATCTCTCGTTCCTTCGGACTGTTAGGCCTCGGAAGCGAGGTTACCGCTCTGCAGAGCTATATTTCCTAAAGCAACCGACGGATTAGCATCGCGCGAGGCTCGCCGTCAGCAGCATTGCAGCATCATTCTTCCCGTGCGTGCGTGCATTCGCCTCGCCGTCATCAGTACCGAGCCGCTACGCGCCACAGCTAGCCTCCCACGAGCACCTTCTCGGACCTTTCCTGAAGCATGATCTCATTAACGACTTACCGTACAGCAGGCCGTGCTGCAGACTCTGTTTGTTAGAAGCGCCTCAGAAACCGTTCCCGGACATACACGCAAGCATTTGATTCGTCCCTCGCCGTTCTGCCACCTCTCTTCGCGGCAACGCTTACCCCCCGAAAAAAACTCGAGCTTGGCTGTAGGTCAGCACTTTTATTTCACCCTTTTATTTTCTCCTCTGGGCAAGTGGCCGCGTGAGTAGCCACAGAATGGAACGGCGTAAGCAAAGGCGGAAACTGGCGGCAAATAGGAAACGCGTTTCTACTAGTCAACCGTCGGCTGAGCATCCGCTTTTAAAGGTTTTCGTCAACTAAGAAACGCTGCTCTCTCACGTTCTTTTTCCCGCGGTCAGCTCGACATCGCTGCGGAGAAATTGGACACAACCAGCACGAGACGTCACCAGTTTCCTTGCTGCGCATTTTGAATGCACATTAGGTCAACCGTTTTAGAAAAAATCTAAAGTAATAACGCGCGGGGTGCAATGGGGAATCAGCAGAGTATGGTGTCCGTCGTGACAGAAAAAATATTTCCGAGACTGCCCGACGGCGCGGGCAGCGTGATCATCCGCCCGTCGCTTCCGCTCCTTGAAGCGGGACCTTCCACTGCAACGGGTGACCTTATATCGGGGGCAGGCGGGAACGAGAACGCGCAAGGGTCACCCACGTCCTCCTCCTCCTCTCCCTCCTCCGCCTCCTCATCCCACTCTCCGCCCCTCACTCGCTCTCTCTCCTCCTTCGCCTCTCGAAGTCGCAGCAGCAGGGGGAGTGCGAGAGGGCTTGCCTCTGCTGCTGTGTGTGGTGGCGACAGCAGGAGCTTTCGACGTAGCAGCGATGAGAGGTCAAGCAAGCGGAAAGAGAGCAGGAAGGAGGGCAGGGAGGAGAGTAAGGAGGGGAGTAAGCAGGAGGGTAAGCAGGCGAGTAAGGAGGACAATAGAATGGACGGTACGGAGGAGAGTAGAGGACAGAGTAATGCCGCTGCCGACGGTGCCAGTAGCAGCAGCAGCAGCAGCGGTAGCAGCAACAGCAGAGGAGGAGGAACGGGGGGAAATGATTTCTCTACAGCTGTAGCTGATGCTGGTGCTGGTGCTGGTGCTGGTGATGGTGGGAATGATGAAATGAGCGGGTTAGATTCTCCAAGGCACCACAAAGAACTGGGACGTAGCAGAAGCGCCTGGGCCAATCTAGGCAGCAGCAGGGGCAGCAGTGACGCCAGCAGCAGCGGTGACAGTGGGGCAAACAGCGGGGTGCAAAGTAGCGACTCAGATGGTCATGGCAGTATCCGTATCAGCCGCAGCACCAACAGCACCACCACCAGCAGCAGCAGAGTCAGCGGCGGCAGCGGCACCACAAGCAGTGGCAGCAGCAGCAGCAGCAGCGATGGTGGTGGCAGTAGCAGCTTGCTCGTGCGGGGAAGCCGCAGCAGCACGGTCAGCACAGGCAGCAGCAGCAGCAGCAGCTTTGGCAGCGGGCGCAGGGCGAAGGGGATGGGTATCCTGGCGTTCGAAGTGGCGTCTACCATGCTGCGCGCTCTGGAGCTCTGGGGGCAGCTGGAACCCGCACACATGGACCACCTGCGGAAGGTGCTGCAGGTGAGACTGTGAGGGGGGGCTTTTGAGGCGCCTCAAAATGGCGAGACCGTGAGGGGGGTGGGGGAAGAGAGGGAAGAGGCGGAAGAAGGGAGGTGAAGAGGGGGGGGTTCCGGGGTGAGAGAGATTCTGGTTTGGGGAGCGTCAAAAGCTAGGCAACTGGTGTAAAGGGTGCTGTAGGGGAAATGCCTCTTCTTGTAGCTCTCTGTTTGCCCCTGTAACATCTACGCCCCTCGCCCCGTGCCCCACTTTTTCCCTCCCCCTCCCACACCCCCCCACCCTTTCTCATTGTAGTGATTTTGCGCCTCTTTCTGTGGTTTCCTTGCGAGTCTGGTCTGGGTTCTCCTTTGCATTATTCTCTAGATGCCAACTAGTCTGCGCTACTGTGCCCCCCTGTATCGCCTCGCCTTGCCCCTCTGCTCCCTCCCTCCCTCCCTCCCTTCCCCGTTCCCTCCCGGCCCTCGTTCATGTGCAGTCGGATGGAGTGACCAAGATGCTTCCAGGGGATGAGCAGCGCCACTGACTTCTGGGTCGACTCAAAAGTCCTCCAAACCCCAAACCCCCCCCGCCTTCCCCTCCTCCCCCCCCCCCTCTCTCCCCTCCCTTCTTCCCTCTCGTGTGTGTGCAGTCGGATGGAGTGACCAAGATGATCCCAGGGGATGACAAGCGCCACTGGAGGCTCGCAGGTCAGTGGTAGTGGTAGTGGCAGTGGCAGTGGCAGTAGCTGTTACTCACAGGTGGTGTTACTGGTCTTACAGGTAACTTCCACCTATTATGTAACTCGTATCGTATGTACAGAACAGAACGGAATAACTTGTGCTGCAGTGCAGGTGCTGTCGTCTCTTGTGTGCGTGCTGTCGTCTCTTGTGTGCGTGCTGTCGTCTCTTGTGTGCGTGCTGTCGTCTCTTGTGTGTGTGCTGTCGTCTCTTGTGTGCGTGCTGTCGTCTCTTGTGTGCGTGCTGTCGTCTCTTGTGTGCGTGCTGTCGTCTCTTGTGTGCGTGCTGTCGTCTCTTGTGTGCGTGCTGTCGTCTCTTGTGTGCGTGCTGTCGTCTCTTGTGTGCGTGCTGTCGTCTCTTGTGTGCGTGCTGTCGTCTCTTGTGTGCGTGCTGTCGTCTCTTGTGTGCGTGCTGTCGTCTCTTGTGTGCGTGCTGTCGTCTCTTGTGTGCGTGCTGTCGTCTCTTGTGTGCGTGCTGTCGTCTCTTGTGTGCGTGCTGTCGTCTCTTGTGTGCGTGCTGTCGTCTCTTGTGTGCGTGCTGTCGTCTCTTGTGTGCGTGCTGTCGTCTCTTGTGTGCGTGCTGTCGTCTCTTGTGTGCGTGCTGTCGTCTCTTGTGTGCGTGCTGTCACGGCGCTGCAGGGACCCCGTAACGACCGCCGCCCCGTCCTCCTTTCCCTCCCCCCTGCACACCCCCCAATTCCCCCCCCTTTTCCTGTCAACCCCGATCTCCCCCCTCTCCTACCTCCCCCCAGGCCTGGAGTACCTGCGGGAGCTGCAGGTGCTGTCCTATCTGGTGTGCGTGCTGTCCCGGCGATGCAAGGGCCCTCAGTTTATGCCCCCCTTTCCCGCCCCACCCACCCCCAGGCTTGGAGCAGCTGCAGGTGCTGTCGTCGCTGATGTGCGCGTGCTGTCCTGGCGCTGCAAGGGCCCCCACCGCTTGTCCTCCCTCCTGCCACACCCCCGTTTCCCCCTCCTGCACGCACGCACGCACACACACACCCCTCAGGCCTGGAATACTTAAGGGAGCGGCAGGTGCTGTCCTCTCTGGTGTGCGTGCTGTCCCGGCGATGCGAGGACCCTCTGTTGTGTTCATGCCCCCGCCCCTCTCCCACCCCCGTGCCTCTCCCCTTCAGGCCTGGAATACTTGCGGGAGCTGCAGGTGCTGTCGTCTCTGGTGTGTGTGCTGTCCCGGCGCTGCAAGGACCCTCGCATGCACCGCCTGAAGCAGCGCTTAGCGGAGCTGGAGGCTCAAGAGGAGGCGCACACGCGGGAGAGAGGGGCGCGGGAGGACGCGGAGAGGGGGGAGAGCGAGAGAGAGAGTGGGGAGAGAGAGGGGGATGCGAGGGAGGGGGGTGTGAGGGAGGATGGGATTGGGCGGGTGCAGGGACAGCAGGGGGAAGGGGGGGGGCAAGGGGGATGGGAGGGGAAGGGGAATGTCAATGGCAGCAGCGGCGCGGGGGGTGGTGGGGGCGGTGGTGGGGGCGGTGGTGGGGGTGATGCGAGTGAGGAGGAGAACTGGTTTCTGTACTCGCCCAAGGAAGAGGCGTTCCTGCGCAAGTAGGTGCCCGCATGCTTGCTCCTCTGCATGCTTCCTTGTGTTTGTGCCGCGCCATGCCTCTTGCCTCTCGCCCTTTTTCCCCAGTGCTCCGCCACGCTCCTCACCCTCTCGCCGTGTCCCTCCCTCCCTCCCCACGCCCATGAGGTTCTTGAAGGAGAGGGCACACCGTACCTGCCACTATACCAGCCACCAGTGTCGTCACCTACCTGCCAACCTGTTCTCCGTGCCCCTCTCCCTCCCTCCTCCCCCTCTTCCTCTCCCTCCCTCCTCCCCCTCTTCCTCTCCCCCCTCCCCCTCTTCCTCTCCCCCCTCCCCCTCTCCTCTCCCCCCTCCCCCTCTCCTCTCCCCCCTCCCCCTCTCCTCTCCCCCCTTCCCCTCTCCTCTCCCCCCTTCCCCTCTCCTCTCCCCCCTTCCCCTCTCCTCTCCCCCCTCCCCCTCTCCTCTCCCCCCTCCCCCTCTCCTCTCCCCCCCCCCCCCCCCCTCTTCCTCTCCCCACCTCACCCTGCCACTTTCCCCACCGGTCCCACCCCCCCCTTTCGATCAGGTTTCTGGAGAAGAAAGTAGCAGCCACCAATCGCCTGCATGTGGAGATGACGCTCCTCAATAACCTCATGCCCAGGTGGGGTGGGGGGCCTTGAGAGCGTGCGTCTGTGGGTCTGTGGGTCTGTGTGCGTGCGTCCATGTATCTGCTTGTGTGCGATCCACAACCACAAGGCACCGCCGGGAAAGTCGTATGCAAAACGTGCAATCCAGTATGGTAGGCACCACCAACAGCACTTCCAAAACCCGAACCAGTTCTCAATCCCCAATATCCATCCTTGCCCCCAGACCTCCACACCTCCCCACCTCCCCCCCTCCCGCCGTTCCCCCTTCTTCATTCCCATTTACCCCCACCAGCCTCCTTTCCTTGAATTTCCTCCTCCAACTCTCCCCTTCCGACGACCCCCCCTCCCCACTCCCCCCTCCGCCTTCCCTTTCGGCTCGTCCCACTCGCTGCGCATGGCGCGCTTCACCAAGGACGCGCCCTCCTGGCCCACCACTGCCATGGCCGCCTGCCCTGTTTACTCCCCATAGATGCGACCCACCTCATCCCTCCGCCCCCCTTCATTTCTCCCCTCATCCCCTTCTTTTCCCCCGCTCCCCTCCCATGCCCATCCCCATCCCCCCCTTTCCCTCCTTCCCCCTCATTCCCCCTCCTTCCCCTTCCTTCCCCTCTTCCCCCTACCCCCCCCCCCCCCCACCCCCCTTACCCCAGCTCCCACACTCGCTGCGCATGGCTCGCTATACCAAGAACGCGCCCTCCTTAACCACTACCGTTGCTGCCCGCCTTGTTCCCTTGCCCCCTTCCCCCCCTTACTTCCTCCCCCCCTCTCAGCTCGTCCCACTCGCTGCGCATGGCGCGCTTCACCAAAGATGCACCCTCCTGGGCCACCACTGCCATTGCTGCCAGCCCTGTTCGCTTCTCACGAATTAACCCCACCCCATCCCTCTGTCCCGCTTCGTTGCTCCCCTCGTCCCCTTTCCCCCGCTCCCGTCCCATCCCGCTCTCCCCCCCACCCGCCAACCCCCCCCCCCCAGCTCGTCCCACTCGCTGCGCATGGCGCGCTTCACCAAGGACGCGCCCTCCTGGGCCACCACTGCCATGGCCGCCAGTCCCTTTGTGCGCGAGAAGATTCAGTCGCAGGTGGGTGCGTGGAGGGAATGGGGGGGAAAGGGAAGAATTTGGGTGGGAGGAGCGAGGGAATGTGGAGGAAAGGAATCAGGGATGCAAAGGTTAGGGAGCGAGAGGTTCAAGCGATGCCCTGAATGAGAGCTTTCAGTTTCAGCCTTTCATTACCACGTCTCCCCACCCCAGCCCCTTGGCTTGCAGATTCTACACAACACAACCCTAGGTCTTGCCAATTTGCATGCCACTACAGTACTAGTCGACCCAGCTCCTAAACCCTGAACTCCAACTCACCCTTTCCTTTCGCAACTCCCGCAACCGCGTGTGAGGAGTCTATTTTTGAGGCGCCTAAAAAAAAAAAAAACCAACTCCCGCAACCCCATCCCCCACCCTCCCTCCCCCCCTCCTCTCGCCCCTCCCCCTCACCGCCATCCCCCCATTTCCCCCCCATTCCCCCTCCCCCGTTCTTTCTCCCTGCCCGATTTCTACTTTACCTGCCCGCCTGCCTGAGTATAATCCTAGCGTTTCTGGTTCTTGCACGCGATAACAAAGCGTTCCGGCGCTCGTGTCAACAGCGTTTGATGCGTCACGTCAGTTCCATTCCAACTTAGCTTTGTGGTGGGTTGCTTGTTGTTTGCTTGCATTTCCCTGTGTGGCTCTGTGTGTCTCTGTGTGTGTGTGTGTGTGTGTGTGTGTGTATGGCAGCTGAAGCTCATTCGGCGGCTGCAGAAGGAATCTCTGTGGGTAGAGGACTTTGATAAGTGCATGATGGTGCGTGGAGAGAGGGGGGGTGGGGTGGAGAGGGGAGGGTGCATGATGGTGGATAGAGGACTTTGAAAAGTGCATGATGGTGCGTGGGAAAGGGAGAGAGGGGGGTGGGGTGCGTGCGTGATGGTGCATGGGGGCTGCGTGCGTGATGGTGCATGGGGGCTGCTGCGTGCGTTGAGAGTGGTGCATTGCATTATGGTGCGTGCGTGGGGAAAGGGAAGGTGTGCGACGTTTCATGCATGGCGATAGTGAGTGACGTGACGAGATCGTGCTTTCTTTCTCCTCGTCTTCCTCTCACTCACCCTCCCCACCCTCCCTTCCCTTCTCCTGGAAAAGGCCTCATGGCCTGACCGACCGGCTGATTAGCAGTGCTGCTGACCAATCTCCCACGCCTCGATCCCCCTGTCCACCCCCCCCGTCGTTCCCCCCGTCTCCACCCCCCCCTTGTTCCCCCCGTCCCCCCTCCCTTCGTTCCCCGCGCTCCCCCCCCCTCGGTCCCCCGTTTCCCCCACCCTCGCCCCCCCCGTCCCCCCCCCCTGTTCCCCCGTTTCCCCCACCCTCGCCCCCCCCGTTCCCCTCCCTCGTTCCTCCAATTGTTCCCCCTCTTCTCGCCTCACCCAAGAACCCCATCCTTCCTCCCCCCAACCCAAACCAAACCCCCTCTGCCCCTTTACATTTCCCCTCCATATTCAGCTGCTAGCAGCAGCAGTGGCGATTCTCTCCTACAAGGTGCGCTCCACATTCAAGTGGCAGAGGGGAGGCACTCAAGGAAAGTTAAACTGTCCCTGTGCGTTTCTCACCCTCATCCCCCGTAATCATCCCCGTCACCCTCCCCTTCCTCCAGCTGCTAGCAGCAGCAGTGGCGATTCTCTCCTACAAGGTGCGCTCCACGTTCAAGTGGCAGAGGGGAGGCACTCAAGGAAAGTTAAACTGTCCCTGTGCGTTTCTCACCCTCATCCCCCGTAATCATCCCCGCCACCCTCCCCTTCCTCCAGCTGCTAGCAGCAGCAGTGGCGATTCTCTCCTACAAGGTGCGCTCCACGTTCAAGTGGCAGAGGGGAGGCGGAGGCGGCAGCAGTGGCACAAGGGGGCCCGCAGCAGAGGACGAGCGGGAGGGCGTGGCGGGGACAGTGGGCGAGGCAGGGCTGTCGATCCGCTACGCCCACACGCTGCAGATTCTGGACCGCGTTTTGAACAAGCCCACGCTGCTGCTGCGAGCACAGAGGTGAGAGGGGTGGGGGGGGTGCTGCAGAGGTGAGTAGTGTAGTGAGTGCAGAGGAAGGAGGGGCGTTGTGACATCTCAGGCCTTGTTACAAAGCCCCTCCTTCCTGAGGCCACGTGGTGCGGGGCTGTCCATCCGCTACGCCTACGCGCACTTGCTGCAGATTCCAGGCCGCATTCTCAGCAAGCACACGCTGCTGCTGCTGAGGGCGCGGAGGCGAGAGGGGTGCGGGGGTGGGACGAAGGATTTTGTGACGCCTCAGAAGTCACACGTGGCGGGGTTGTTGACCCGCTACACGCATGCGCTGCAGATGCTGGACTGCTGTTTGAACAAGCGCGCATGCGCACGCTGCTGCTGTGGGCACAGAGGTGAGAGGCTGGCCGCGCGTGGTGGTAAGTGGGGGTCGCGTGGTAAGAGGGGAGGGTGCTCTGGGGGAGCGGCTGTTGTTGCAGGAATGTACGTTCCAACTGGAAGCCTCTTGCTCCCCCTTCCTCTCCCCCTAACCCCTCCCACCCCTTCCCCTGCTTCCTTCCACTTACCCAGGGACGACCTATGCCGCCTCCTACCCTCCACAGTGAAGCACAAGGAGTGGTGACTACCCAGGGACGACCTATACAGCGGTGACTAAGAAAAACCTTCTCCGTCCCCCCTTCATCTACCTTCTTCGTACTTACCCCCTTAGTTCTCCCCTTTCTTCTTCCTTCCCTTCCACCTCTCCCCTTTCCCCCTCTTCCACACACCCAGGGACGACCTATACCGCCACCTGCCCTCCACAGTGAAGCACAAGGCACACGGACAGGCACCATTCTTACTCCCTACTGCTCTCCTATTCTCTTCTGCCCCTCCTCCCCTCCTTTCCCCCACTCCCCCCTCTTCCACGCACCCAGGGACGACCTATACCGCCATCTTCCCTCCACAGTGAAGCACAAGGTGCGGCGGCGGCTGAGCAATCGCAGCCGTCCGTTCGACGTGGAGGTAGCGGCTGAGATGCGGCGCAGCACGGAGCAGATGCTGGCGTGGGTGCTGCCCATGGCGCAGCGCACGCTGGCATGGCAGGCCGAGCACTCGTATGGCTGTCATTTGAGCAAACGCCAGCGCTCCCTGCACATTCAGGTGGGCGAGGGGGAGGAGGAACAGGCAATGGTGGGAGGGATGGGAGGGGCTGGGTCTTGGGGTTGGGGTTTGGGTTGGGGGATGTGTGCATGCAGAGGTGCATTGCGGAGCAGGGCAGAGCGCAAGCAGGGAGCAGAGGTGCGGGTTGGAAGAGAGCGCAGGTGAAGGGTTGGGCATGGCAGTGGCAGGGGCAGCAGCAGCAGCAGCACGGAAGGAGCAGATGCTGGCGTGGGTGCTGCCCATGGCGCAGCGCACGTTGGCGTGGCAGGCAGAGCACTCTTATGGCTGCCACCTGAGCAAACGCCAGCGCTCCCTGCACATTCAGGTGGGCGATGGGCAGAGTGAATGGTAAGGGATCAAGGGTTAGGGGGGGTTGAGGGATAGAGAAGACGGGGTGCTGGCGTGGGTGCTGCCCATGGCGCAGCGCACGCTGGCATGGCAGGCAGAGCACTCGTATGGATGCCACCTGAGCAAACGCCAGCGCTCCCTGCACATTCAGGTGGGTGAGGAACACAGGGATTAGGGGGAGGGGGACAAAGGGGGAGGGAGGAATGGAGGGAGGGTACAGAGGGATGCTGGCGTGGGTGGTGCTAACGCCTACTGCTGTACCAACCTCCAGCTAGTTCTCCCGTTCGGTTTTCCAACTGTTCCTGCTCTCTTCTTGCGGTCTGCTTTCCTCAGACCCTTCACTATGTGGACAGGGAGTGCTTTGAGCTGCTCCTCGTCGAAATGCTCCTCTGCCTCTGCATCTTTCTCCCAAGACCCTCCCTTCTCTCCTGTCCTCTCTCCCTTTCCCCCTTCTTTTGCCTCCTCTCAGAATCTTCACTGTGTGACAGGGAGTGCTTCGAGCTACTCCTAGTGGAGATGCTCGTGAGCCTCAGCTACTTCTTTTCAGCTTCTCCCCCTCCCCCCCCCCCACACTCTTCCCTCCCCTTCCCCTCCCCTTGCCTTCCTTCAGACCCTCCACTACGTGGACAGGGAGTGCTTCGAGCTACTGCTAGTGGAGATGCTCGTGAGCCTCAGCTACTTCTGCCGCCCGGCGGGTCTGACCAACATAAAGCCGGACGAGGAGGCAGCATGGAAGATGTGGCAGAGCTCAGGAGGGCTCATCCAGCCTTCTTTTGTGAACCCGCACCGAGGAGCGGCGGGGGGTGGAGGAGCAGGGGACGGGAGGGATGAAGCAGCGGATGCTGCTGCTGCGCCTGCTGCGGATGCACCTGCTGCAGCTGCACCTACTGCTGCTGGTCCCAGTTCTGGTGCTGCTGCTGCGGGCTCTGCTGCTGGTTCTGCTTCTGCTTCTGCTTCTCCCGTATCAGCACCCAGCGCTGGTCAAGAACCAGGATCCTCGGATGCGAATGCGAATGCGAGTGGCCAGGCTGCAACACCCTCTGCTGCAGGTCTCTTCCCCTCTGCCTCTGCAGCACGTTGCATTGACTCGGAGAGTCAGCCCCAATGCCAATCCGAGCCCGCGGCTCCTGCCCCATGCGCGGCTGCTCCTGCCGTTCCTACTCCTGCCGTTGCCTCGGCTACTCCTACTGCTGCTGCAGCAGAGAAGGGCGAATGTGACTCCGCCACTGCCACCCCTCCTCGGCCAATCCCTCCTGCTTTCCGCTCCAGCAGCAGCAGCACCACCACTACCAGCAGTAGCAGCAGCAACCACTCCAACACACCCGTCCCTCCCATTCCTCCTTCTAGCAACCCACCCACTGACAGCACTTCCCCTGCCACAACACTATCAGGAGCCAACGATGAGGCGTGCAGGGAGGAGGAGGGAGGGGTGTGTGGTGGCGGTGAGTGTGTCTCCTCCGGTTCTGTCAAGAGCGTGTGTGCGAGACACCAGGCATCACTCGTGCCTGGTCAGATCGCTAGCTGTGTGGGAGGGAGCTAGGAAGAGAGGAGATGAGAGCTTGGAGGCGAGAGTTTTGACACGTCTAAGAAGACAACTGCGTGGGAGCGAGCTAGGGAGGAAGGAGATGAGAGATTAGACACAAAACTTTGGATGGGATGGGGAGGCTGAGACTTCTCATCACAGCACAGGGTGGTGGCTGGGGTGGAGCTCGGGAGCCAATGAGAAACCGAGGAGGTCTGGGCGAGAGGAACTGAGGACAGCTTTGATCCCTGGCAGCAGATCATGCGACTCCTTGTAAAGAGATGCGCTTGTAGGGAAAAGCATGTGACTGGTGCAGGGCAGAAATATAGAGACGTGCTGGTCTGAAGAGTCTTCTTACTGCGTGTCTGGAGGGTCCCTCTCTCCCTCCCACCTGTCCTCTGTTCTTTCCACTCAAGGATAGCATGATGCCCTCAAGGGCTGAGTTCTCCCTCCGCTCTGTTCTTATGAAGGAATCCTATTCTCACGGAGTAGGTGTGTCTAGTTGTGCCACTTGTCACTTCATCACTGGTGGTCAGAGAAGCTGATGCTGGATGGGCGGTGGGGCTTGTGCCTTGTGCGTACAGTGTGATAGACTGGAGGTACGAACAATCCCAAGCGTACCGTTTTAGACACGGTATGGTGCCGTGCGGTGCAGCATTATATCGTCCAGTATGGTGCCAATAGCAGGGTCATGCTCAGTGAAAGCTTCGGGTGAGGCACCAAGGAGTGTGAAAATGAGTAGGTGGTGTCATTGTGAAATATGCGGAAATAATCAGCCTGCTCAGTATGTTTCTCTGGTGTTCCACCTTTCCTTGTGTTTGCATGCGTGTTCCCACTAGGTGCTCTTGGGGATGCTATTGAGTATCTAGCGTGCTTTTATGTTCCACATTGGGCAATCTTTCATGTTTCTCACTTGGATTCACTTCCATATAGGCATGCGATCTCTAAACGACTGTGCTGAATGCGCAGGAGTGAGAAGCACACGTGATGACGTGTTCACGAACTGCGGATATTTTAGGTCGGCGAAACCCGACAGACACATTTCACACCCCAAGAGTTTCCACGAAAAGTTTCGCTCACCTCATACACGCGTAACGCTGGTCTTCGTTTTGTCGCCTAGTTAGGCTTGCTTGCCCTGTCCAGCAGGGAACCTGTCCATACGATGGAAACTGCCCTTGCGTGCGAAGCCGGTCACCTCCTCTCTGTGTGCGAAAACGGTCACCCGATCGCTGCAGGTTGCCATCTGACATCGCCTAAATCTTGAATGTCGAATTTTACAGCAATCCAGACGCGGCGTGCAAGCAAGTGCAAATGCTGCGTGCGGGGAAACCGCATAAATTGCACGCTGGAAACACATTTCCATCATCTCGTGGTTCGATTAGCTCTCGACTCAGTTCCTCGGTTTTTCAGGGAGCTTTTCAGGCTCGATAGCTCTCGCCTTTCCTGTTTTTCCGCCGTGCTCGCAATCGGAAATCCTCGGTCACCATGGCTGCTGCTGATACGCTTCCTGGGACAGGCTGGTTCGCCAGCGGGATCAACACCACCCACCAGCTTTCCCCCAACTCGATGGCTTCAAGCCGAGTCCTCGGGGCAGCGTCACGACTCGTCGACTCTTCAAGTTTAGTAGCGGACTCGAAATTCATCATCGCAGCCGTTGTCATGGTTCTTGTTTCGAGTTCGTGGCTCTCATTCCTCCGCCGCCGTCGCTCCCTCCCCCCCGGCCCTTCCCCGTGGCCAATCCTCGGCAACCTCCCGGACCTGGGACCGCTGCCTTTCCGCTCCCTCGCGAAGCTGGCCGACAGGTACGGCCCGATCCTGACAGTCTGGTTCGGTTCCACACCATCAGTGGTGGTTTCGTCGCCAGAGCTCGCCCGCGAGGTTCTTAAAACGAATGATAGGCTCTGCTCGTCCCGCCCGATGACTCGCACATTGTCGATTCTCTCTCTCGACGGCAAGAACATCGCGTTTTCGCCAGCCAACGACCGTTGGCGAAAGATGCGACGGCTGGCGACGCTCCACCTTCTGTCTGCGAGGAATCTGCAGAATAGCCTTCATGTGCGAGAGGGGGAGATTCGCGACATGCTCAATGCGATCGCTGCTGACGCTGCTGTTGTTGACGCAGCAATGAGTACTTTGGAAGCAACTAAAGAGGGTGCTACTACGACGGGAAAAATCGCGAAATCTGCCGCCGAGACGCAAGAGGGCGTCATAGTCGAAGTGCGAAGGTATTTAAATCGCGCGACGCTCAACAACATTATGCGCCTGACTGTCGGGAAGCACTTCGGTTATTCCTCGATTCGTGGCGCGTCGAGCACCACGCCGAAGGCGATTCTCGATGCTGCGCTACGGATCGATTGGAACAAGCGCATCGCCGCAACGAACGGCGAAAAACGCGGAGGCGAGATTCGCTGCGGTGCTGCCGATGCTGCTGCAGCTCCAGCCTTTGAGTCTGAAGAAACGGAATGCACTGCTAAGACAAACCTATCGTTGGAGGAAGCGGAAGGCGAGGTGGCGATTGCGTTAATCGAGGAGGGTTTTGCTCTCGCGGGAGCATTCAATATCGCGGATTACGTGCCGTGGCTGAGCTACTGGGACCCGCTGCGCATGTACGCGCGTGCGCAGCGCCTCGCGCCGCAGCTGCACGGTTTCATGCGCGCGTGCATTGTGGAGCGACGCGAGCTCGTGCTGCAGAAGAAACGCACGGAAGAATCCAGAAGCGAGACTCTTGCTGTATCCGCGACTCAGACGCCGTCGACGACGGAGCCTGTGGTTAAAGAGCCGAAGGAGTTGAAGGGAATGAAGGGACACGAGACCGCTCTTGTTGATACGTTGTTCGAGATCGAAGGGGAGGGAGAGGATCATATGGATAAAGACGAGATGCTGATGCTCGCGGTTGACATGATGATGGCTGGGACTGATACCACCTCCAAGACCGTCGAATGGGCGCTTGCTGAGCTGGCGCAGCACCCCGACATGCTGGAAACGCTGCGTGCTGAGGTGGACGCGGCGTATGCCAGGTCAGCAAGTGCGGCCACCGAAACTGGGGCGGCAGCGGAAGGAGGATCGGATGTTATGGTTTCTCTGCCAGTAGCGGAAATGCCATACCTGCAGGCTGTTTTAGAAGAAACACTTAGGCATCATCCGGTTGCTCCGTTCCTCGTTCCCCACCTGACAACTGGCAGCGTAACTGTCGGTGGTTACCACATCCCTTCCAACACCATGATCCAGATCAACGGCTGGGCTCTCGCGCACGATCCAACGGACTGGGTTGAACCACACAAATTTTACCCCTCCCGGTTCCTTGACCCTGCTGCCCCTGATGTGACCGGGCAGAATTTCAGCCTACTGCCCTTTGGTTCGGGCAGGCGTGGATGCCTTGGGACGAACCTGGGATTGGACCTATCTGCCCGCCTGCTGGCGAATTTCGTTCTGCGGTTTGATTTCAAGCTGCCCGAAGACGTGAGGGCAGGTGGAGGGATGGACATGACAGAAACTTTTGGGCTGACCATGGCTCTGGCCAAGCCGCTCAGAATGGTGTTGAGGGAGAGAAAGGTGGTGGCAGGGGCAATGGTGGCTGCTTTAGGAGCATGAGCTACAAGGGGTGCCTTTTGGGGTTGAGCTGCATTGAGCAGGTTATTGGGTTACGTACGACGATATCATGTTTGCGCACTCTGGATGGGAGAGAGATCAGCCTGATTTGAATTGCTTCTACGGCATTCGGGGGTGTGAAGGGGTGAGTGACAAAAGGGCGGTGGGGGTTGCAAGGCTAAATACCAAGGATGACAGTGAGCGAGATTCCTGATTGGAGTTTCATTTTTGCTTCTTGTTTTGAGGGTGTGTTTGACGAGTTTGTGTACAGTTGAAGTATATTTTTTTTTTCAAATGTCATTCTTTGTTATAGGCTGCAGTGAGGTGCTCTTTAGTGAGTACAACTCAGTGAGGGTTTCATATTTGTACTGCCTTGCTTTCCTAGTCACTCATTCCGTTGCTACTAGTAGCTACTCTTAAGATGGTATCACGAGTAGGTTCGTTCTCGACTGTTCCTAGCCTAGCGCGCACCCGCGCCTCCGCGCCCTCCCCTAGTGCACCCTCCGCGCCCTCCGCGCCTAGCTCGCGACTCCGCGCCTCCGCGCCCTTCGTGCCTCCGCGCCTAACCCGCGCCACTGCACCCTCCGCGCCTCCGCACCCTCCGCGCCTAGCCTGCGCCCTCCCCTCCGCGCCTAGCCATGCGCGCTCCCCAGCCCGTCGCGCGCCCCTAGGCCAGCCCGTCGCGCGCCCCTAGGCCAGCCCGTCGCGCACGTCCTAGGCCAGCCCGTCGCGCGCGCCCTAGGCCGGCCCGTCGCGCGCCCCTAGGCCTGCCCGTCGCGCGCGCCCCTAGGCCAGCCCGTCGCGCGCCCCTAGGCCAGCCCGTCGCGCGCCCTAGCCCATGCCTTCGTCCAGGCCGCGCCCGGCTAGCGCCCTCGCCTTAGCCCGCGCCCTGCCTTAGCCCGCGCCCTGCCTAAGCCCGCGCCCTGCCTTAGCCCGCGCCCTGCCTAAGCCCGCGTCCTGCCCGCGCCCTCGTCCACACCCTCACCAATCCGCCCCTCCTCACCTAGCCGCGCCCCCCACCACCCTCGCTACCCTAGTCCGCCCCGTTCTGCCCGAGACTTAGCCACTTCTCCTCCACCCTTCTCCGGGCCCACACCATTCCTACTGCTCCTGGTTTCCGTTTCAGCGGCTGGAGGCCGCTCTCTCACTGTGGGAGAGCGCTCTAGAACCGGTTAGCTCCCCACTCCACGCTCCTAGCCTAGCCTGCTCCGTACTCCGACTGTCCCTCGCCTAGGTCCACCTGGCGCTCCCAGCAGTTCTTGCTCCTCGCTCCTAGCTCCGGGTTCCGACCGCTCCTAGCCTAGCCTCCACTATGGAGTCCTCCCGCCGCCTTCGCTTCGATGCGGAGGGACGTCTGATAGAGTTCGGCACCTGGCTCCGCCAGACTCAGCGCTACCTCACCAGTCAGCGCCAGGACGGCGCCAACTTGTACACCCACGCGTCCGGCGCCCTCCAGGCACCCCGGCGTCCCGAGCCCCTACCTGCCGAGCCCTTCCCGACTCCGGAGGCGCAGGCGGACTACGATCGTCTCGTCTTGGCGCGGGACGTTTGGGACTCCCGTGACGCTGCGGCTGCACTCGCGCTGACAGAGCTCCTTCCACCGACTGAGGCCGCTCACTTCGACCTGGTAGAGACTGCGAAGGAGGTTTATGATGCTATTTCTGCACGCTATTCCACCCCTTCCTCTGCCTCCCTCAGCCGCATCCTCATGCCGTTCGTGTTTCCCGACCTCGGCTCGTTTGCAACTGTCTCCGACCTAGCCACTCAATTGCGTTCCCTTGTCGCTAGCTACCGTGCAGCTTGCACTGAGGCTCAGCTTCTTGTTGCCCCCCCTCCTATCTGGCTCACCGTCCACTGGGTAGTCACTCGTCTCCCTGACCGCCTCTCCACTGCGCGTGACGCGCCTCTCCAGCAGCACCCCAGTGAGCTTACGATTGATCTTCTCTAGACCACTCTCGGGAAGATCGAGAGTAACCTCCTCTCTGTTGCCTCGGCCACTGACGCAGTCGCTCCCCGTCTGTTTGAGGGGTGTGCTGTCCCCCAGCTTCCCACCTTCACTGCTACTCGTGCCTCTGCTGCTGTGTCGGTCTCTGAGGACACTGCAGCTGTTTCTGCCGCTGACAGGCAGAAACGGGGCAAGGGCGGCAAGAAAGGGGGGAAGGGGGGTGGCGGCGGTGGAGGAGGTGGCGGTGGTGGAGGCGGCGCTGGGGGCAGCAGTGGTGGCGGCGGCGGTGGTGCACCAGGCGGAGGGAGCCCTGGAGGATGTGCTGACCCACGTGCTGGAGGAGGTTCGACCAGCGGTGGTGCGGGGCCCAAGCAGCAGCAGCCACAGCAGAGACAGCAGCAGCAGCAGGGACAGCAACAGTGGCAGGCACCACAGCAGGTTCAGTCGTGGGGACCCCCACTGCAGTGGGGTCCGCAGCAGCACTGGGGCCCTCCGCCACAGTGGGGATCTGGAGGGCCCGGGAGCACTGGCCGCAGCAGCAGCACTACCAGCTGGGCCCCGCACCCCCCGCGGCGCGAAACCGGCCCCTGTGACCACTGGTGCGTCACCGGACCAGGCAGTCCCTGTGTCTGCGGCCACGACGACCACTCTGCGGCGCGGTGCTTCCGCCGCCTCGACGACCTCTACCGTGCACGCTGGGGTACTGAGGCGACCACCCCGCGCTGGGCTCGCCTGCTAGCCCGTAAGATTCATGTATTTGAACTGTCTATGGACGATGCTCGTCAGTATGCTTTGTATGTTGATGTTGACTATGTCGGAAGTCTGGCTCCTTTGCCTTCTTCCTCTCTTCTTGCTTCACCCTGGGCTCTTCTTGTCTTGGTTCCTGCCTGGCTTACCTCCTTAGTGCTCTCAGTTCCCTGTTCATTCCTCTGGCCTTGTCTGCAGGCTTAGCCACTTAGACACACAAGTTCCTAGACACACTAGCTCTTGCTAGCTGCTCTAGGAAGCTGAAGCTCGGCAGACTCTCACTCTCCTCAGCTGATGCTATTGGCTTGCGAGGTTGGCATCACTGGTTGCTCATCTCTAGGTGTTCGCTAGATCGAAAAGTTGTGCTTAGTTGTGAAAACAAACGAGCAAGCAGGGACTTCCTACCCTGCCCCCTGACTAAGTATCTCCTTGGTTACCGTTTTAGCAACGGTACTTTCGCTGATCCTCGCCTTTCGGCTCTTCCCGCTGGATCCAGTTTGGCTTCCCGCCGTCCTCTCTACAGTCTATCATCTTATTAGTTCCTAGTCATGCATTTATATTGTTTCTTGCTATAATGCAATTAAAAGCATGACAACTATAGTGCTGATGGATCTGTGTGCTCACGTGTTCGTAGTCTAGGATGCTTGCCTCCTGTTAGTGTAGACCTGTGCCTCTCTAGTCTAGGTGGCAGGTTCTCTAAAGCGGCTGGCAGTAGCTCTCGCAGGTACCTGGCTCTGGCTTCGGCCACTCCCACCCATTGCTCCTCAGATCCTATTGTCACCACTCCTGTCAGTAGCTTTGGTGCGTCTACGGGCAGCACGGGCACCCTGCCTAGTAGCAAGAAGTATGGCGAGTAATCCTTCAGCGCTACTTGTTTGCTGAAGCGATATCCGGCTGCCACCCAGGGCAACCTTATATCCCAGTCCCGCTTGAACTCCTCTCCGTAGGCTCTCAGTCCTCGCTTAACTGTCTGCACGAACCTCTCCGTGAGACCGTCACTCTGCGGGTGGTAGCGAGATGTTCTCCTATGGGTGATCCCGCTCTGTTTCAGCAGCTTCTCGAATTCCCCCAAGAACTCGGTCCCTTGGTCCGTCAGGACTTCCCCGCACGCTCCGAATCTCGTCAGCACTTGTTCTTCGAACGCTTCCGCTATCCTAGCTGAGTTCTTACTCGGCAGAGCTTTGACTTCCACCCACTTGCTCCCGTGCTCAATCATGATTAGTATGTAGCGCTTCCCCCTTCTGCTGAGCGGCATCTCTCCCGCTAGGTCCAGCGACCACCTGAAACTTATGCCCCTAATAGGCAGCGACTGTAGCTCCTCCCTTCCCCTCTCCAATTCTGCTTTGTTTCTGCTGCATAGCTCACACTCCGCCACCCACTCCTTGATATCTTTCCTCATTCCTGACCACCACCACCCTGTCTCCACTAGCTGGCTGGTCCTGAGGCTGCCGTAGTGACCCATTTGCCAGTGCACTTTCGCTATGATCCCCTCCCTCAGCTCCTTCTTGGGTACTAGTTTCCATCCATCTTTGGTGTTCTTCTGCAGCTGCTCTTGGTACCAGCGGTAGTATGCCCCTCGCGTCCGAGCTCTCTCACTCGCTGGTTCTCCTTCACTGGTTTTGCCCTGAACCCACCCCAGGACCTCTTGGTCTTCCCAAATGTCCTCTGCCCCCTTCTCCTGTTTCCTCTTGGCCCCTTCTCCATCTATCTCCCTGGCCAGTGCCACCAGACATGCCGTGGGGCTCGCGGGTGGTGGGTTCCGAGATAGCCCATCCACATGCTGCAGAGTTTTGCCAGGCCGGTGCCTGATGCTGAACTCGTACTCTTGCAGTCGCATGGCCCATCTTGCATTCCTCCCTGTCAGCGCCTGGTTCGTCATGAGCCATGTGAGCGGTTGGTGGTCAGTCACGAGCTCGAACGGTCTCCCTTGCAGATACACTCTGAAGTGGCTTATCGCCCACACCGCTGCTAGTCCTTCTCCTTCATAGGAACTGTAGTTAGCCTCTGCGGGGTTGCAGCTCCTGCTGGCGAAGGCTACCACCATCTCCTGCCCCTCTCTCTCCTGGCACAGGATGGCTCCCATGCCTGAGCTGCTCCAGTCGGTGTAGAGCACAAAGGGGTCTTCTTTGCTGGGTAAGCTTAGCACCGTCGCGGTCTTCACTGCCTTCAGCAGTGCATCCATTGCCCCCTGCTCTGCTTTCCCCCACTGCCATGCCTGTTCTTCTTTCAGCAGTCGATTGAGTACTGCTGCGGTGCGGCTAAAGTTGGGCACGAACTTACGGTAGCAGTTCAGAAAGCCTAGGACAGCCCT